TGATAGCTTTGACTAGATTCAAGACGATAGCTTTGACTAGATTATGAGCTTGCTAAGGTTAATGTACAGAGCAAAATCAGTGACATCTGATGGAAGTGAGCTAGATTTATAAGAACACTACAATAACATGTGTTTTCAGCATGTCATACCAACAGAAAAAATTGAGGGAAAGAAGAAAAACAAGCAAACTGCTTTCTGGGAAAGTTGACAGTAATCATTTTTTTTCCTTGATTGTTTTTGGACCAACAGTTCAACAGCTTTTAGTAGAAACTGAAACATTAGGAAAATTTCGCATTGCATCACCCAGCTTGATCCTTTTTTGATTGTTACAAGATACAAATACATTGTCAACACTCCGATACTAATTCCTAATCAGAATCTGGATCAACATCCACGATATCAGGGAGAGAATCGGTTGATTGATTATCATCTTCAAAAGCAAGTGTCGTACCTTTCTGAGCACTTAAGGTTGTTGTGTTTCCATCTTTGGTGGCAAGCCTGTCGCTTTCACCTGCCACAACGGCTTGCACTGATGCCATTTCAGTATCCTTGGAATTTAATGCATCATCTTTCAAAGCAAAACTTGTCGAGTCCACGGTGGTAACATTTGGATCACCAGTAACAGTAGGAATGGAGGCACCTTTGGAAGATTCCTGATACTGCTCCATGGATTCTTGCAATTGCTGTGAGTCAACCAATGCTTCATCACCACGCCTCATCTCTATGTCTGCACTAGCAGCTGCTCGGCTGTGCCCATTTCTCCGAGGACTTTTTGCACCTGATGAACCAGCCACGGGAATATTTTCTCCCTGTTGAACCCTTAGAGTTTCAGAAGGCCTTTCAGTGTCCATACTTTCACCCACTGGAGCCTCTGTTTCCTTGCTACTATCCAGCCAACTCTTATACAAATCATCATCTGAATCAGAAAGGCTATGTCCTGTGTCCTGCATGCCACTTGAAAATGGGTTACTATGCTTCTGGGCAACAGAGTATATATTCTCTGGGAATCTGTGGTTAACTTCATTGAAGGAGCTCGCAGAGGGAAAATCAGCCAGTGGAAGTGCCCGGGGGTGTATAAGCACCTCCAAGGCTAGGAGTGCGTAGGTACAAAATTCAGATACTTTTGTTCCAATTTCTTGCCTGCCTGCAAAAATCCAACATCCAACAAGATTAGCAAGAGGATATAAGCAAACCATAAGCATTTGTGAAAAATTAGCTAGGTTATCAGCAAGTGGGCTATATTATCATGGTCTAAAGCATTAAATTGGGTTACAACTATGAAAGAACCAAAAGGACCAATCAAAATTATCCATGAAACAATGCTGCCATTGGGGCTTCTATCTAGAAACGAGAAGAAAAAGGTTGGAGCAGAACTGTGTGTGTAAGGAAAGGGGGGAAGGTAGGGGCTTAGAGTAAAAAAATTACGGAGCAGTCATACCAGTTAATACAGCTAGTTTATCTTGAAATAATTTAAGCACTAAATAATAAACATATCACTTGAAAAAATAATTGAGGATCACAGCTATTAGTCATCCTCATATGCTGTTTACAGGATGATGGGAAAAAATTTAATTTCTATAAATTTGACAGGACTTACCTCTACGGAAAAGCTCAAGAGCAGGAGCTAAATGTGGGGGACGTACACGAGAAGGAGAAAGGAGAGATGCCAAAAGTGCATGTAATGCTGCTAACTGTAAATCTGAGCATGATAGGGTTGATTCATTGAGCAAGAAAGCTTTGCTTTCATCACTAACCCATCCTTCTTTACAGGATTCTGTTGCAATAGTTATCAAAAGATTATCAACTTTTGAACGCCAAGACTCGGATCTCAAACCTCCACCCTGTCAAAAATTATTATAAATCTTTAGCACACCAATTAAGTCGACAACAGAAAGAAGCAGCCAAAAGCTAAATATAAATGATTGTGGAAGCAAAGAAAAAATGCACATGATGGATACTTTTGGCTTTTCATCCGAGCAGAAAGGATAACGGAGATGTGCCTTATAACTCCAATATTACAAGAACATTTTATTTTGAGAGGGTACATCTTTCTACCATTAAAATATGCGGGAGCAGTAATTTTCACCCACGTCCATCAACCAACTCATTGCTAAAGGGTGTATGGATGACAATTTTATATATTCTGGATAGTGATAATTTGACTCAAAGAACAGAGTACAAAGGAATTTGACATGGGTGGATATCTTAAAACCCATTTACTTAAATCTATGACAATTTTTTAAGTCCAGTGATTTAAGAGGACATTAAAGAGAAAATTGTGAGCTTAAGAAAATAATTCTACTGAGAAATAAAAGGATTTGTTATAATCAAACTTAGTGCAACCATACCCATGACATTAAATGTAACACTTTGATGGTTAATGTATTTGGTAAGGGTTGACAAAGGCTAAACAGGTGAGCACCCGTTATTGGCAAAAAGATTCATAAACACTCAATCTATTTTGACCCTATCCATGCTAAACCATTTTGCAAGAAAGGTTATACTAAAGCACAAAAAGTCAGCAGCTTGGTAGAATATTAAGCACTCATCAAACAACAAGCAATAACCATACCACAGTTAGAAGAGTTTCCAATGCCCCGAGTGCAGCTATCTTCACGGAAATCGCTGTTGGACAGTTCTTGGATGTTTCCACCTCCAAACCAATTCTGTCATGGAGCTGTTCAAGAGATCCAGTCGCACCATGCTTTCTCTTTCTGTGGAAAGGTGGCAGCAAAAGTTTGGATTTTGCATTTGCATGAAAAGATGTACCATCAACGATGGGATTTAAATCATGAAGAGAGCAGTTGACAACTTCTTGTGCAAGATATATCGCTATTCCTGATCAGAATATGACTGGAAGTTAGCAGCAGCAGCACGAGTATTTCGATGAGAAACACAGGGTCTTTTAGAAAAGAGTTAATGGCTCAATGCATGAACAAAAGCAACTCAAAATGGAAATCCCGGGTCAAATGCTCACAAAATTTTTCATATGAAAATAGTGAAGCATGTTATATGCAGAGGGGGCAGGTTAACCATCCAACATCTTAATATGGAAACGGAGCTTACAGCAAGGACAGAGACACTTTCAAAGCACACTTCCACACTGGTCTCTCTCCCTTGCTCTTCTTTTTTGTGAGCAACACATTTACACACATCGAGATGGGGGGGAGTCATGCACACTCACACTCTTAAAGGGCCCTAGGCTTTTGTTTATGAAATATGGCCATAAAAAGGGGTGGAGAAAAGCACACATGCTCGAGTACAAGAGAACCTGCCAACATATTTCCAGATGCACCAAATGGAATCAAAGAGAAAAGGATTTCCTACCAAATCTTATATTTTATCACATTATATGACAAGAAAATATCATAATATTGTTTCTTGTTCTGCCTTTCTTTCAAGAATCTGAAAGATTTTCCTGGTACTCTTAAGGACAATCAGTCCTGAACTTCAACCATATTTGACCATTGATGTATGATTTATTAGATTCTTTTGAATTGAAAATAACAACAAAATCTATATAGTTAACACCATAACAGATATATATCAGACAGGAAAGAGACAAATACTCTTAAAAATTGCTACATACCAATACCCATGGACATCAACAACAACTTTGTGATGGAGTATACTTTTATCCTTAACTCTGGTAACTCACATCTCTTAAAATATTCTTTAACAAGCCTCACAATATATGCAGCATGTGGCAATAGTTGACTGCAAAACAGAAATAACATAACGATGGTGAATATCAATAATAACCAAGATTGATAATGAAAAGAACACTGTCAGCATTTACAGGTTCAGGGAATGGAAAATCACATTCTACATTTAGAAGACAGAAACCAAAATAACAGCAGGCATAATTAGTAGCACAGTGCACCACATAAAGTTCTGGAGAGTGCCAGAGTTTACACATGCATCCAACTAAATAGGACCCTGTTTCGGGTACTTAAAGCGAAAGAACAAAGCAATAGACAGGAACCTTTTCCCCGACTTGTTCCATCAAATTAACAAAGCAAAACCTACAAAAACTTTTTCTTCTTTTAAAGCTGCTGTCTTCAATTGCTGCTCCGGATACTTAAGCAATGTGCTTCTTCAAGTTCAGGAACCATTTGGTCTTGAAAGTTGCAACTCAACATGGTCAAAGTCTAATCGAAGAACTACTTTTTTATACCTTCTCAAACCCAAAAGTCCAGAATTTCCCTACAACTTGCCCACAAAGAACAGTACATAGGTTTGCCAAATCTGTTGTGATATAAACACAATTGTAGACCCGTTACAAAATACAGCACAGTTCCTCCAAATAGTGATGAGAAAATACTTTGTTTACCTGCGAATCCCCTTTATGACTGAAGCAAGAAGTTCCAAAGCATAGGAGTGCAAAACTGGAAGTTCAGAGCAAATGAACTCTTGTTCTGCTAAAATCAAAAAGGATGATGTGGTTGGTGACAATGAGCCATTGACCATCAGCACTCTCTCAACAAGGGCCAGTAATGAGCGAACAGGCACTGAAACCTGTTAATCAAACATACAAGATTGATTTATTTCCATGCCCAGTTTCAGATTTAAATAAGCAACAATTAAGAATTCCTCTTATGAATAAAAATATGTCATAATAGTCATCAAGCACACAACAGTACCTGGACAGGATATGAATTTGTAAGCATTTCACAACAGCTAAGCATGAACATAGAGATACTACACAGCTTGGATCTCTTTCTTTCCTTGTCTGAGGTATCCTCTAACAACTTTTGGCCCCATAAAGAAGGTGGTGGAACTTCTCCTGGCGGAACCAATAATCTAACAGCTTCATCCCATTTTGTTTCTGCAACATGTGCAAGCACATTTTCCACTTACCATCACTGAGACCAGCAAAAGCTCAACCAAGAAGGCATTAGCACATACCTTCCTCTAGACCAGTGAAGATTTCAGTTAGGTAACCATTTACCAATAACAGAACCTTCCTCATTGCTGAAATCCAGCTATCTTCATCTCCCTTTGATTTGGGAAGCAGTGCTAGACAATGAGCTAGCTTCTGGATGGTGAAAATTAAACAGAAGTTATTGTGTTCATGTCATGCCCTGATCTGCTTATCTTATCAGATCCCAGAGACAGTTAGAGAAAGGAAGGAAGGAGATACCTTCATCAAATTTATACTGAATTTTCCCGAAAATATTTTTGATGTAATAGCAGCTTCAACCTATGAAAGTACTGGCATCATTATATCACAACACGTTATCCTGCCAGAAAAATATGCTTTTGCAATTGCTTTCCAGTTAAAAATGCTACCTGGCTA